GGGGGGGGGGGGAGTGGAAGGGTTGTTCCAACTGTTTTCATTTCATTCATAAATAAGCACCGTGTGCTGGCAAATAGAATCTAGCAAAAAGAAAGAAACAGCTGTCGACAAGTTTTTTCCTCAAGTCGGAGATTTTTCTACCGATTGGAAGCACGCGCTTGTGGTATCTGCTATGCCTATCGTGATTTATTGTCTTTTCAAGAAATATAACATGTCTTTTGTTTTCAATGTTAGATCTATACGTTGATGTGACTTTTGCATGCTACTATCTCGAAACACCTCTAATCTTCGACACTTATGTAACTAATTTGTGTTGGAAAGTGCCGTAAATCTTTTAGTAAAAAAAAAACAGCCATAAAACAACCCAACTTTCTCCTGCTCCCCAGGCCTGTGCTTCTTCGCCTTCGTCTCGGCGTGTTCCAAGATGGCGGCGGCCGCCTATCCCAGCGTGCCCCTGGCCGCTCAGATGTCCACCCTGGCACAGAACTGTGAGCGTCTGCTAGGCCTGCCGGGACTCAAACCCGGGTCCTACACCAACAGCTCATCTGTGCCCGAGCGTTAGCTCACGGAGAAATCATTCATTCATGTTAACTCGACCGTTGATATTCTCTGGAGGCAGTTGGTTGCTCACGTCTGTTCATAATCATAATGTACACCATCTTGTTCTTACCTACGGCTAGCTGTTCGGATGTTTATGAACTAAGCCAGGATTAGGTTAGGGGGTGGGAGGTGGGGTGGGGGTCTTTTTCTTTTCTTTTCATTTCTTTTTTTCTGTTTTTAAAAATAGTGTTTTAGTCTGTGGTACTAGTTGCATGTTTTCGAGAAATATCTTGTTGTAATGCTGAATTCTAATTGAAGAAAAACGAACAAACAAAAAATATAAAAAATCAAGAGCAGATAGACCTACATGATGAAGTATAAAGTAATTCTCTAATAGTTAAAACTGTGAATGAAACAGTTTTTCCTTCTCTCCTAAATTTTTTAATTTCTTGGCTTAGAACATCTGAACAGCTTGCTGAGGTAATGTTTATAACTAAAAAATAATTATGCTCAATAAAAAAGTTTTTTAAAATCTTTAGTTCGCTATATCACAGCTGTTTTATCATTTTTGTCTACCACTGCTGCTACTACTTCTTCTGTCATTGATTTTTGTTACTGCTGCTACTGCTGCTGCTTCTCTAAGTACTAGTAAGACAAGTCATCGCCATATTTGCATAGTTCATCTCGTGTGTCTGTAGAGCTCTAGAAAACCTGTCTTGTAAAGCTGTATCATGTATACTGTTTTAGTTCATAGTCAGAGAAGAAGACGAAGGAAGAAGAAGAAGAAGAAGAAGAAGAAGAAGAAGAAGAAGAAGAAGAAGAAGAGCTATAAAGACTTCCCTGTACCGGTGATATGTGATTGCAGGTCTTAGCTTGACAAAAGCCTTCGACTCTCGAGTCTCTCCGACCCAGAACGTCATGTTTTCTGACAGAGTCATTGCTGGCTTCGTCACTACCACATCATATGTTCCGTTTTTTCTACTCACTGTATATATTACATATTACCTTTTGAAAAGTGACGTATGATTGAGTCTTACACTGGGCAGTCGACTGATAGAGTTCTTTAACCATACATAATATATTTTAAAAATTTTATGGTTTGCAAAAGTTTTAAAACAGTGTGTATGATTATAATGCTGATATTACGTTCTCTCCCTCTTTTTATATATAATATAAGCTTACATATTTCAAAGACTATTTTTACCGTTTTCTTGCCTGTCGATAACGATATTATAAGCGTTTGTCTGTGCCATTATGATGTCTTCATGGGATATTGCGAACACTTTTCTTGGAGAACGCGTCCTACTGTCTGTGACCTGTTGAACACGGCAGTTTCAAGAATCGTGTCCAATATTTCATGGAGAACCTCATCAACTGTTAGTGTTTCAAGACCAAGACAACTACCTCTGTGACAGAATCAATAACTCGCCATAATATTTCTCTTCCTAGGCCGCGTGTCCACCAACACAGAAACGACCCGATTTTTTATATTTTTTAGTAGTAGTAAATCGGCTATGAATAGTCAAGAGGGTAATGGGCGCCGGGCGGCAATGTGAAATGAATGGTTGTGTGTGTGTGTGTGTTTGTGTGAGTGTGTGTGCGTGTGTGTGTGTGTGTGTGTGTGTGTGTGTGTGTGTGTGTGTGTTTATGTTTTAATTAGTAAAATCGTTAATGTTCATTTGAACCAGATGGTTTGCCCCTGGACTTTGCTAAGTTTAAAAGGCTGATTAGCGATATGACTAGATCTAGATTTTTAAAAAATCAAAAATGAAGATTGAATTTTTTTAGAGCCCTGGCAAAGCCTATGAATGAATGATAAGTCACCACAAGGCCCGACTAAAATGCGGCATGCAACATTCAGGCCGCCACGCCATATTCTGTCAAGAGGAGTCGTGTCGTTTTGATGGACACTTCCACACGGAATTTTCGCTGAGTGATTGAGAAGGAAAAATAAAACACGGTGCCCTTAGATTTCAACTGTCGACTTCCTGAGAGACGGACGACTACTAACACAAGTGGCAGTTGGTCGGTTTCTGGTCTGGTGGACATGCGGCCTATGTGTGTCGTATGTGACAGAAATCGTGTTTTTCCCTCTAATAATATATTACTGTTTGTATTACTATTATTATTCTTCTGTTCTCATCCCTTATTGAATTGCCTTATTATATCCGCCTTTGTAAGATCAAGGGTTTTTTCAAATCTATACTATTACTATGCACACTTACGTGGTGATTTTTCTACTTTGAAGAATGCAGCTAATGTTTTGTTTTTGTTGTGTTTTTTCCTCGGCCATTAAAGGGAAATGTTCCTGATTCTGTTGCGTCGTATGGTGAAGCCACCTGTGGTGACTGTTTGCCTATTTCTGCCTTGTTACGACCTTTCTTTTTTTTTATAAGTAGCGTTTTTACGGCGCTCGCAACTACATAAGGTCACCCAAGCGCCTGAAGATTAGAGGTGTTACAAGAGAGTAACAAACATGACAAAGAAGGAGGGGAGATAAGGACGATAGATGTTTGATAGGAAAGAAGAAGAAAACCACACCAGAACACCCGCCAACCACCCACGGTGACTGTTTGCCTATTTCTGCTTGGTTACGACCCATCTGAATGGAAAAAACAAATCAAAGTATTCAAAGCCCGACCAGCCCCATTGCCCTTGATGTGTTACAGATTTGACAAAAACAAAATGTCAGGATATAAGAAGTGGGTGGTTGACGGGTGCTCTAGTGTGGTTTGCTTCTTCTTTCCTATCAAACATCTATCGTCTTTTCTTTATATCTCCTCCTTCTTTTTTGTGTGTGTTACTGTCTTGTAACACCTCTAATCTTAGGCACTTATATAACCTTATTGTGTTGCAAGAACCTTGAAACGTTTACTAAAACTAAACTGATACATGTATAAGAAGATACCTACAGATCTAGGTATCCCAGTGCGCTGACAGACTGGGCAAGCACAAGTGTCCCAACGTGGTGAAAAAGTAGATGAACACATCGAAATGTGGATAGAGAGGGGAGAAGGAAGAAAGGAACGATTATCTGGAAAGGAAAGACGTCGCCATAATCAGACAGACACCGGAACAATCAGTATGGATACTTTGCAGGCTTTGGTGCTGGGGGGGGCTGAGCACTTATGGACCTGTCCGGTGTGCAATGACGTTGTTGCCCAGGACGGTTAATACAGGTAATACAGAACACATATCACCTTGGAGATATTTACAGATATCTAAATATGTTGAAATCGCTGACAAACACAAAACATTGCTCTCTGTTATGATACCTGCAGGTATCTCAATAATGTGGTGAAAGAGTAGACAATATTAATACTTGACATCATGTCACGTGATTCACTGTGACACCTGAACGTATTCCATAAGAGATACCTTGAGGTATCCCAGTGTGGGGAGAGAGTGTGTAAACATAAAACTACTATTTTTTAAAGTTTTAGTAAGAGTTTCACGGCACTTGCAACACAGATGAGTAAGGTCATATAAGAGCCGAATATTAGAGGTGTTACAAGAGAGTAACAAACACAAAAACACGAAGTAGGAGAGATAAGGACGATAAATTATGTTCGATAGAAGGAAAGAAGAAGCACACCACCCCAGAGCACCTTATGATATGAGATACCCCTAGGTATCCCAGTGTGGGGAGTGAGTGGGGGAACACAAAACACTATAATATGAGATACCTCGAGGTATCCCAGTATGGGGATTGAGTGGGTGAACACAAAACACTTTGATATGAGATACCTCGAGGTATCCCAGTGTGGGGAGAGAGCAGACAAACACATTACACCATGACGGCAGATACCACGTACGTCAGCCATGGACAAACTGTGGCCCTTGAGGAGTTAGTTTTACTATCAGGTCCACCCAAAACATAGTTAAGTTTCAGTTAGGGTTTTACGGAGCTCGCAACTGCATAACGTCTTAAGAGCGCCAAGGGGTGGATGTCAACAGAGACGTCCAAACGGGGAATCAGGCTTACTTTGCTCACCTCTCTTGCCTCAACAGCACAAAGTCTGCTTCGACTATCAAGGCACCACGGAAATACAAGTTCACAAGAGAGTGACAAACATAGAAAAGAAGTAGAGGGAAAACATGACTATAGTAGTAAGGATGAGGAAAGAAAAAACAGCAGTTCCCCTTATGTTGTACAAGTTGTTCCGCTATTAATGAACGTGGCCCGTTGTGAGTTGATAATAAGTATAGTAAAATGGGGGAATTCCACCTCATAATTTACAATTGGATTGTGAGATAAGTGTTATAGAAGCTACTTTATGTAGAAAGAGGACACATCCTCCACAACAGTTCTACTTTGGGTCTGATAAGTTAGGAAACAAAACATACTATGAATTCTACGATATCACCATCCCCATACATGTACTTCCATTTTTCAACTAAATTAAACATTTGATATTTCGGATCAGTTCCACACCCACATGAGCACACATGCCAAAATACAAATAAAAAGACAGACATACAAGAAATTAAAACTGAATTGAAAAATAAGACATGGCAGACAGAAGCAAAAGATAAAAGCTGAATATCAAACAGATTTCTGTTGGTTCTAAGGGCTGTAAGTGGGTGTGTGGAATTCCCCCACCATCCCATACACAGCACTCGGGTCTTGATCAATAGTTCCCCACTCAGCTCTCAGAATCAGAGAGGCAGCGACGACCATGATACTCCATTCATTTCTTTGCCTGGATTCTTTTTTTTTTTAAAGTCCTGCGCGCTTATACTTACATGGCCTTATACAGTTGCCAGTGCCGTAAAACTCGTACCAAAACAAACAAACACCCACCCCCCTTTCCCCCAAACTTACCTCATCCAGATCGTTTCTCGTCACCCATTTATTAAGACTATTAGTAGCCTAAGTTGCAATGGGTCTACCTCTGCTTCGTTTGCCTTCAAATGTTGCCAGTGAGAGCTAGATCTAGATGTTGGAATCCTTTATGTCTATTCAAGTGTTCCAGAAACTGCATTTATTGTCTTGTTTTGTTTGAGTAGAGGTTTTGCGGCGCTCGCAACTGCATAAGGTCAAATGAGCGCCAAGGGGTGGGTGTCAACAGAGAAATCTTTACATGGAATCAGACTTTGACTGCTCACCTCTCTAGCTTCAACAGCACAAGGTCTGCTTCGACTATCAAGGCACCCCGGAAATATCGGGTCACAAGAGAGTGACAAAACATACAAAAGAAGTAGAGGAAAATGACAATAGTAAGGATCAGGAAAGAAAAAGCAGCAGCTCACTGTTGTAGATCAGGCACAGTTATGAGCGTGACATGAGTCAGCCCATTTACAATTCTACTATGCTTGAACGAGAAATGTCCCCCCTTTGAGAATGGCGTAAAGACACTACAGTCAGTGGCACTGCCCGGGTGGTTAAAATTTAAGTTTCATCACAATTTTACAACCACTCATCACAAAGCACAACCAGTTTGCTGGGTTGGCAGGTGTTACAAGAGAGTAACAAACATAAAAAAGGAGGGGAGATAAGGACG